TATTCCAGAAAATACAGTTTGTGCCTCCTACGACCCGCCCCAACCGTCTTGCCCGTCTGTGGATCCTGCACAATACAAGTATCAGAAGAAAATGAGACAAACAGGCCCGCCATGCATAAAGAGCTAATAGAAATTAAATTCAAGCACAATTGTGGAGCCACATAGACGGGACCAAGTGTTAGACGACCAGATGGATCATTTTGTGGGGTAATAGAGCCATACTGAGTAATGGACAATGGTTGTCCAGCAGCTGTGTAGATAGGAGGAAGAGAGGATGAAGTAAAGACAGAGGATAAAAGTGAGGCATTACAAGTCATATGAAAGGAACAACCAGAGTCAAAAATCCAGAGATCATTCATACCAGAGACTGAAGGATTAGCTGAAGAACCAGCAAAATGCATACCAGAGAGTTGTGCGGCGGATGTAGAGGTGATATGTTGAAAAGCATCAAGTTGACGGCGAAGACTTTCAATAGCTTGAATAGTAGAGTCTGAAGTAGTAGAAGGTATAGCATTGGCCAACAATCCTGGTGTACGAGAGGGTTGAGACTGAGGGGGTCGCCGACCACGTCCAGTACCTGAGGAACGTAACTCAGGATGAAGCTTGAAGCATGTCTCAATGCGGTGTCCTTCCTTCTTACAATATTTGCAAGAGAGCTTAGATCGAGCCTGTGGAGAGGGAGCCTGTGGAGAAGTATAATTCATAACAGGAGCAGTGACAGGTACAGACAAAACAGTCTCGAGTGAAGAGGTAGGAGTGTCTGTTGACAAATTGAGTCGTGCTGTCTGCTGCCGGGTCTCATAAGCAGTGAGAGCTCCCATAACTGAGGCCAAAGTCGGAAATTGAGGCTGGTGAAGTAGTTGATCAGCCATAGTTGAATATTCAGGAAGGGACTGAAACAATTGATGCACCTCATGCCGTTCGTACCAGGCTAGCCAGTCTTCATATGTGGAATTACGTCCAGGAAGCATGGAGCGTAACTCTGTCCAAAAAGCTTGCATTTGTCCAAAATGGGACTGCAGAGATGAACTACCTTTGCGTTGTAGAGAAATGCGTTGCAGAAGATATGCCTCCCGTGCACCCGAGCACTCAGTGAAACGCTCAGTGAGACGAGTCCACATGGCCTGAGCAGAGGGAAGCGAGCCAATCTCGACAGTGAGACCAGAGCCAACACAGCGAGTGAGATAATCCATAACACGAAATTCCTGCAATTGCCACTCTGAACTCTCCTTGACATAGAGAGCACGAGCAGTCTGAAGATCGACATCACCACTGCCAGAGGCAATAGTACTGGATGAAGCAACAGTGCTGATGGACGGTGGAACTGGTCCCGTACTGGTGAGATGATCAAGCAAACCAACGCCACGCAAGGCATTGGTGACAATGGTGGACCACCCTGCCCAGTCACTTTGATCATTGAGGGGCAAAGGTGGTTTGGGAATCTTCTCTGAAGGAGCCATAACAGCAATCTTGAGACGTTAAGATGTCGAGATGCTGTTACTAATGTCGTTCGTTTGAGGCCGAGAGACGGCTTGAAACGACGATGCCGTTAATTTGAGACCGAGAGACGGGCTTGAAACGACAATGCCGTTAAAATAGAACCCGAAGGTTAGAATGAAACCCGAAGGTTTAAAATAGAACCCGAAGGTTAGAATGAAACCCGAAGGTTTAAAATAGAACCCGAAGGTTAGAATGAAACCCGAAGGTTTAAAATAGAACCCGAAGGTTAAACGAGAACGCGAAACGCGTTAAGAGGCCGCAAAACGACAAGGCCAAAATATCTGGCAGATGAACGCCAAATAATTAAAAATAAAAATAAAAAAAATAAAACATTAAACGGCTGCAAAGCAATAAGGCCAAGATTTGGCAAAAGAACGCAAAAGCGTTAAAAATTTTATTGAAAGGGAAATAGCCCTAGCTCTGATACCATGTTAAAGTAAGAGAGAGAGAGAGAATCTTGGGTAAATTTCCCTTGAATTGAATATTGAGTGTGCACATATATTTATACAAGTAGAGGAGTGTGAGGTTTGTTCTCCCAAGCAATGTGGGACTAAAACCCACTACAATACACTATTATCAACAATTTCTACGTATGTAAATATGATGAAAAATGAAACGTATTAAAAAATGTTCAACATTTTCCATGTTACCCTTTATTTATTGCATTTACGAAAATATAAATTTTCCATATATGTCTAGATAATATTCTTAAAAACATAAATTTCCATCTAAGAGTTTAACCATGAGTGAAGTCATATGAGTTTCTTCTCTTAATTATTTCTAATCGGTTTATTCTTTGAAGTGTTTTATATTAATAAATTTATTTACATATGTAACACGCAGATTAAATCGAATTCCTCTACATTCTATAGTCCAATTACTTCTTTGAGGTCAGGCCCAAGATCTGAACTGTATATTTAAACATCAATATTGCATCCCTAATTATCTGATGGGAATGAATTCTTCTACTTTTCTTTTATTTTAACAATAAGAACAAGTTGCTTCTTCTACTTTTTTGCTCTATATATATATATATATATATAGAAGAGTGCGTCGATCATCTTCACACCATTCGACCCTAGCGTTCAACCTCTGCTATAGAAAATAATGGTTCTCTCTCACGGCCAAATTGATAGCTTCTTAGTTACATATTTTTCTCTTAATATGTGCATCATGAAATAAAACTTCACTAACATTATTTCCATATATTGCTTAATATGTTCAATCAGTCGGAAGAGATTGGGTGTGGAGCCCACGGATACGCGATTCGGGGAGGGCCACGTCACCAATATTCCAGCCACCACGGCCGCCACCAGCAGCCCGAGGCTATGCAAGAGGATATTATGAAGTTGGATGGTCAGATGAAGGAGGAATAAGAGGATGCGGTAGTGATTCGCCGCCGCCGCGGCCACGGTTAACATTTGGCCCGGAACATGGTAATGAGGCCACAGCATTTGCATTTGAAACTGACAAGTTGTTGAGTGCGGCGTCTGAAATCTCACTCGGATGCGATAATGTTTCTGTTAACGGATGCAACGAGGTCCGGGTAATTTGAACACTAATAATCGAGTATTAATTGTGACATCTGAAGGATACATGATAATTATATCGACTATATATGATGTTGTGTGTTGGTCTCTTTGATGGAATTTTGGATTACTACTATGAATAATACTGTACATGTATCTATATGTGTTTATTTCTTTGGAAGTGCATCAATGTAAAGATCGGTTTTATTTTACAAGTTTTAGAGAGATTGAAAAAGGTTTTTATAATAAAGTTTGAGAGAGAGAGAGAGAGAGAGATGTGGTCTTAAAAAATTAGGAACGCAACATAAAGTTAAATGTACAGTGTACGCACCTTAGATTCTTGGACAAGGGAGGACAGGCTGCATTTTTACAACCAAGGTAATGGTAACGGGCTGGAGCTCTAGTCATCAGGGCTTCATTGTCCTCCTGATGAAAAACAAGCCCAACGAGCCTAACAAACTCAACACGATCTCTGAGCCCATTCACTATAGCCATTTATTGAAAGTCATCATGAGCATATGTGTATTTTTACGAAATTACGCTTGAGAGGGCCATGTTTTTTATTTTCTATTTTATTTGCTATTTTTTTAATAGTGTTGTTTTAACTTTCACAAACTTTAATAGGCTGGTATTGGTTAGTCATAACTGTATTGCAATTTAGTAGATTTTTATTCAAATTTTGTAAAAGAGTAGTCCGTAACTTACTGAGAGAGACTTAAATAGAGCCTGGGTTTAATATGATCAAGTCAAATTTACATTCAGGCCCTAATTTAAGGTGGCAAAACTTTGTAAATTATTGGAAGGATACTCCTCTGCCCAACCTTGGTGCATTATCATCCCTAATTCTATGTGAAATGAAACTTTAATCCATTTTCCAGGACCATGTTGTGCATTTGACTAGATATATTGTACATTTCCCCCCCTCAGTGAAAAGGATTCGTATTAACCAAAACATGAAAATGTACAAGCATTCCAAGATGGAATCATAGAACACCGAAATATAACTACTAAACACATGATATTGTTCTGAAGAACAAAATCCGATTAAGTCTTTTTAATCCATATGTCACGGTGTCAAAACTCCCTCCTCTTCATGTATATTTCGTATTATTTCCTCTACTTAATAAGAGCTCTGGACGTCCTGTCCTAGTTACTATAATAATAATAATAATAATAAAACCATACCCTAAAAAAGTGATGAAGTCGATTTTTTACCTCTAGTCAATAACAATGACACCCAACATTTTTGCCTTGCACATTCATCTCAAAAGAACAATTGCATCAAAGATATGTACATGAGTCACTAAAGAAGCCAATCACATATTCTTTATACCTTATCCATATAATTATTGTAACCTATCTAGCTTTATTCTTCCTTCTTAAAAACCACAAAATAGTGATCAATCTATCAGGGAAAGAACATATATATATGTGTTGCTGTACAAGCACAAGCGGACCAATGATTTATTCTCATTAATTAGGCATAAAATTCTTCATTCCTTTCACACGATTTTTCCAAAGGAATATTATCAGCGGCCAGGTGACTTAGATTGAGTCCTCAGAGTCAATATCTCGGCGAAGTCCAACCGAACAATGTTATAACAAAGCCTTCTCCTTTGGAGAGAACTCAACCCGGGAGAAAATGGTGAGCTCTATACTCTTTACACATCTCCGCATACTATTGTAGTCATGTTAGGCCGGATCGAATTTTGAAGTTGACATTCACGATTGTCATTAGATTTCCAATGGAGCCGGTGGTGTTGGGGGATGCCACCCCGCCTCCTCCGCCGCCGCCGCCACCACCAGGCTCGTTGTCCGAAGGCCATGGCCCACAAAATAGCATGAATGGTATCAATATCGGGTGCGACAATTGGGCCGGACATGTGGGCAACAATATAGGTATGTGTCTTGATCGGTTCAATGAAGCGGAGGCAGTTGCGCAGGTTCACGGCAAATTACGGGTGGGATGTGGAAATTATTCAGGCAGGGACAATGTGATCCGCGTGAAAACGCCTGAACCATCAACTAGTTATCGAAGGCGTCGGTGGTGAACTGGAGCATATTTTGGAAATGTTTGATCGCAAGGGCTATGAGTATATGCAATATATATTTGTGTACGTATGTTTGTTTAACACTTGTCTTTGATTGTACTAGAAATCTGAGTGCGAGCGATGTATTTTGTGTAGCTTTTTAATTTGATCGTAATCAAGGGTGTCTATTGCAAATAAATTTCAAAATTTTCAGCATCTGGGGCTGATGACTGAAGGAGCTCCGTAAAACAAACAACATTTAAGATGAAAGAGGAAGTAATAACGTGTTTTAAGGAGGGCATCATTTCCTTTTTACAGACTTTTAACTTCCAAACTTTTTATTCCTGTTTTTTGTTCATACGAAGCTAGAATAAGCAGTGGCATCTACTCAAGGCTCGCTTGTTGGATGATGAGCATCCTTCGCTTCTCTTGTGCCTTCAGCATCGCTATCTGCAGTCTGTCGACTGTGGTGATCAGCAGACAGATCAATGTGCACGGCATTATCAGCGTCAGAGATGTTGTGGCTTCCAATCTGCGTACTCTCGGAAATATTTGATATACTTCCAAGCACGTTGCGGATTATGACATCATTCCCTTCAGCACCATAATTGCCACTTCCGATATCCACGCCATGTCCTCCTCCTCCTCCTCCTCCTCCTCGCCAACCACCCCATCCTCCTCCAAGGGTCGGAGGTGGGCCCATCATCGGTCCTCTCCATCTTCCATCATTCATGTCTATTAGAACAGGAGCTGGAGCTGTAAATGGAATGTTGCTTTCACCACATGATCCTCCACCAAATGCATTATTTGTACATATCGTGCAGGCGTTACGCACAGGTTGACCTGTTGCAGGTGCTTGTAAATCACAAGCAACAGTCGACCTTCCTCCTCCACCGTCGTCAACATCCTTTTTCTCTTGTGCATTATGGCGCTTGACAGACTAGACAACGATATTGAATCAGAAAAAAATTATAATGTAAGTCATGCATAGGTTTGATAGGATTGGAGAGCTTACCATTTTGCTAAGTTGAGGTTTAAATCCTTTGAATGTTGGCCTTCGAGAAAGATTTTGCCAGGTAGACAAGAGATTTTCTCATGTTCACTTCAGAGGCCTGCTAGCTGTTGAATGAATGGCAAATTTATACTGGAAGAATTGTTGGCTACCTTTGCATTGTTTGCGAAAACTACCTGTTTTCCACACCGAAATGTAGTTCAGATACCATCAAGGTCCGAGGGTCAATCTCGTCATTACGTTATCTGTAATTTCTAATTATTAGACATTACAACACTTGTACTATTCACCTGACTCTGGACTACGAAAGGAAAGCTCTAGACCCCAAGGTTTACTTGGCACATACTAGGCCGATGTTAGTCGGCACATACTAGGCTGATGTTAGTCGCACAAAAAATAAAATATAAAAAATAAAATAAAATAAAAAGCAGCATGTTTAAACCATATAGTCACACTTCCCACTTGAATTTCTGCAAATATTAGAGGAATATGAACAAATTCATCCTTTCTTTTAGTCAACATGATTCGAAGTGTAAAAATATTTTATAAAAATTGAAATATTCTATGCCTGGGAATAATAATGATATCCATGGAATGACTAGTGAGTTTGAGTGATCATCATTTTGAAGTCTGTCTTTATCAACTTTTACTTGCAACTGGAATTATATATTCCTTCTCTAAAACATATAAATCTTTGTAATCTTATCAGAGAATAAATATTCGAAATGATTTAAGAGTATAGATGATCATATCTTTTTAATATCCCTACCATCATGAAACCGAATCAGGAATAATTTTACCGAAAGATAAAAAGGGGAGTAGCTCAATAATAATTGAAGGGAAATCTTGCTTCTATTTGAGGTGCATGCTGAAGCGAAAGTAAGACAAAGAGACATTCTATGGTATATCATTGCATAAGTAGTCAATTACTCTTTGTCAAAAGTTTTTGTTCCATTCTCCTTTTCTTGTTTTCTGGTCAAAAGAAAAACAAATTCAGACACCAACTATTGCATAAATTTAAGCATAAATTTATAGAATACGCTCTGAAGTCGCCCCTCTTGTTCGACATCTCTAATTTCAGACACCAACTATTGCACCTCAAACATCTTAGACCATGTTTAGGAACCTTTTGGCTTGAAGGC